AGCCTCCTCACAGATGGAATTTGCTTGACCTTAATCCTCAGCTCTAGAAAACCTGGGAGTTTCTATTACTATCTCAATATTTACTGCCTAGCCTGAGTTCCCGATTAAATTATACGCCTGATATTTACCAAAATTTTTATGTGACAATTTGGAAGAAAACTGGCCACACTAAGCAGGCTTATTAATATTGCAGTAATGCGATTAGATGAATATCAGAGTCTCGGGGCCTCGTAATTTACGGCAGAGGCTTGTTCTGGGCTGAGTGACCAACGGCGCACCCGCTACTTGGGAGAAAGAGGTGAATTTCAACAAAGGAACAATGGTCTTTTTTTTTTTTAAAAAAAAAAAAAAAGAAATTCAAGGTGGGAGCATTAAGGCTGCCTGTCAACAGGAGCGTTCAGGAGCTGCTTGACAGGGTCAGCCTTGCGAGGTAGACCAGACAATTGAGTTAGTTCTGCTTTATTGTAAAACTGTGTTAAGCAAATCTTGCACGTCTGAAAGTACAGGTCTCCCGCGGTCTCTTTCTACAGCCTGAGAAACTTGGGAGGGTCCCTTCTGAGGCAATTTCTCCACCCATTATGCAGCTCTGGGCTCGGCTGTCTCTTATCTGATCCTTCCCTTCGCTGTGTCTCTTTTCCCCGTCTCCCTAGGTCCTTCCCATCTATTCTCACAATATCCTTGCAATTTGAAAGTACAAATCTCCCACCGTCTCTTTTACAGCCTGAAAAGGTCTCTCTCTCCTCCCATTATCCAGCTGCGGGCTCAGCTGACTCTTATCTAACCCGTCCCTTGGCTGTGCAGGTCTTTCCCACCTTGCAAGTCTGGAAGTATAATTGTCCCACGGCCTCCTTCACAGTCCTTTTTTTCAATGTCGTTGTAACTTTGAACGGTCACTAAACAAATTGTGGAGGACAGCCTGCATGTGGGAACTGAGTCAGAATGGATTTCAGTGAGACCAGGGCTATTTTAAGAGATCTCCGCTTCTCTAGGTCAGAGCAATCTCTTCCTCATTCACTCCTCCGCAGAGTAAGCCCTCCCTCCATAGCAACTACAGGGTTACAACACCAGCTGACAACAACAGACGTGGCTTCTGAACCTTTTCCATTAAGTGTGTGCTTTCTGCCCTCTGATGGATTGTCTTTTGACCCAGGAAACTCAAAGAGAAGTTGAAAAAAATAGCCAGGGAACATTGCCTTTCAACTCCCGCCTGTTATTTATGGATGTGTTTGCTCAGGGATTAGATTTAACGGGTCTTTCAGTTTGGCAAGGAGGATGAGCCGTTTGAAGAAGACATGAAAACAGGGAATTCAGCCCCAAATAAAATGTTTTTGCAGCCAAAAAAAAAAAAAATCAAGTTATTTTCCAGGTAATCCTTGACTTCGTTCATTTAGTGACCATTCAGAGTTACAATGGCACTGAAAATAAATGACTTACGACCGTTTTTGCAGGATCTCCCGAGGTCATCTAGTCCAACCCCCTGCTCAAGCATGAGACCCGCTACCATTCCAGACAAATGGCTGAGGAATTCTGGGAGTTGAAGTTCATGAGAATTAAAGTTGCCACGTTTGGAGACCTCTGCAGTAGAACATAAAATCATAGGGTTGGAAGGGATCTTTGAGGTCATCTAGCCCAGCCCCCTGCTCAACCGGGAGACCCTCTGCCATTCCAGACAAATGGCTTCCCAGTCTCTTCTTGAAACCCTCGTTCTTGGCAGGACAAGAAACTAATCCACAGAAGCTGCAACTTCGGAAGCGGATTCGAAACCTACCATCTCCTTCTCACTAACTGTGGGTCGCAGCTGATTCACACGACCCCCGCCAGATCCCCGACAGGCCTTTCCCAATGAGTGCACTGCCTTGCGATAGGCAATGCAGCTGACAGCCAGGGTGATAAATTGAAGATGGGCGATAGGCATCTTAAATTTCATGCCATCCCAGCACGTGGGAAACTGCATCCGCTAGGAAATAGTTCTTTCTCTCTTTCCCCCAGGCCTCAAATGATGCAGCCGGAGAGACATTTTCAAATGCCACCGAGCCATAAAAAGAGAAGGAATTCAACATTATGATGTGGATAATGTTATCCTTAAAAGAGGCAGCGCTGTCTGAACGGGGGATGCGCCATTATTTGATAAGGGATAAATCAGGGAGCCCTACGCACTGGGGTCAGGGAGAGACTTCTGAGGCTGGGGAGAACTGAACCTGGCCAGTTTTATTTGGGAATGGTTTGGACAGATTCAGGGGCTCGATTTGGGAGATAACAGAATAACAGAGTTGGAAGGTACCTTGGAGGTCATCTAATCCAACCCCCTGCTCAAGCAGGAGACCCTATGCCATCCCAGACAAGTGGCTGTCTAGTTTCTCCTTAAAAGCATCCAGTGATGGAGCACCCACAACTTCTGGTGGCAAGCAGTTCCACCGGAAGGAAGGAAGGAAGGAAGGAAGGAAGGAAGGAAGGAAGGAAGGAAGGAAAGCAAGCAAGCTATATAAATTCAAGAAAAAAGGAAAGGAGCTAGGGAGAGAGGAAGGAAGGAAGGAAGGAAGGAAGGAAAGAAAAGAAAGAAAGAAAAGAAAGAAAGAAAGAAAGAAAGCTATATAAATTCAAGAAAAAAGGAAAGGAAAGGAGCTAGGGAGAGAGGAAGGAAGAAAGGAAGGAAGGAAGGAAGGAAGGAAGGAAGGAAGGAAGGAAGGAAGGAAATGGCTTGTTCTGGTGAGATGGGCAGCTATACAAATTCAATAAAAATAATAAAATGGCCGGAGTAGAGCTGTCAATGCAAGGGTCTGAGGAGCCAGGGCGATTGGTCAAAGCTCCACCCCCATGTCCGGATAGCGATTGGTGGAGGTTTTCCCTCCTGCAGGCAAGTCCACCAATTGCTGCAGTGTAATTTGAAGCCCCACCCCTCCTTGTCCTCCTCAACGAAGCTGCCATGTGGGAAGCCCTCACGTGTCGACTGAGGGATTCTGGGAGTCAAACTTCACCTATGCTAGCTGGGAATTCTGGGGGTCAAACCCCTCACATGCCAGCTGGGAATTCTGGGGGTCAAACCCCTCACATGCCAGCTGGGAATTCTGGGGGTCAAACCCCTCACATGCCAGCTGGGAATTCTGGGGGTCAAACCCCTCATATGCCAGCTGGGAATTCTGAGAGTTGAAGTCCATACCTGATATACTTTTCCTGTGGGGACAAAAAACCACATTAATATTTGGCCAAACAACAACAACAAAAAAACCTCTTAACCCCAAATATCAAAGGACCCCAAATCCACATTTCAGACACGAGGGCCACGTTTTGAACCCACTAAGGAAAAAAAAAACCCCACCACATTTCCTCTGTGGAAAACAGCCTCATTTGCAAAAGAGTCTTCATTATAAACTGAAAATGCAAAATTGTGCACCGAGGGGCTGTAGAAATTTGCAATTTAATATTTGGGCCGCGGCTGTCTTCTTTTAGCAAAATTGGAATTCAAGAATGGGGGGGAAAAAAGAGAAAATGGGAGGGGGGGGAACTTGGCTTTCCTCCCCCAAATCTTCCTTGTTTCTCTTCCCACATCTTGCAAAGATTTACGGGTTCGAAAGCTGCCAACTCCAGCTTTTCCTTCACAAGTTGTTTATGGCTGCAACGGCTGCTAATGTTGTTGTATTTCTTTCGGTTCCTGGTTCTCCACAGCCAAATTACTGTGACTAATGTACTTCTATAAATTTTTTTCTAACCATCTTCATGGAGGATGAAGTATCAGCGCTTCGGAGCTGAATTTAGGGGAGACCGGGAAAAGGCACCCCGCTCCCGTCTCCTTTGTTCTCTTGTGAAATATCACACAAATATTGTGACGTTTTCTTTTATATCAATTTCCCAGTAAGGAAAAAGCCATCAGGGGCTGGAGGGGGCAAATATCAGCCTGTATCAAATGAATAGTGACAGCTGCTTATTGGACAAATGGCTGAGCCGGACCTTCCCTTGTCCCATGGTGCCAAAAAGTGCATTTTCGAGAGGAAAACATGTTGAGCCACATTTAGGAAAAGGGGATGAAAAATTGAGAGTTTTTCTGGATTGGATGGGGAAGCTAAAATTTTGGCAAGTGAAAATGCGTTAGTTCTTCCTCAATTGGGTGAAAGGAATATGTGGAGAAGGGGTCTTGGTTTGGGGTGTTCAATGCAGGAACTGTGTTAGGTCAGTTTACTAGAAACCAGAGATCTCCAGATTTGGCTATTTTAAGACTTGTGGACTTCAACTCCCAGAATTCCTCAGCCACATGGGCTGATCTTGTGTTAATTGGAAATGCTGTGCAGTTGTGGCTCTTGTGATCCACAAGGAGGTCTTTTACTTTGCTGGCTCTCAGAAGCCTTGGAAAAAGCAGGTTGTCTGAAGTCTCTGAGCAAAGCCATGTCTGTATGGAACCGGGCAACCAATTTATACCTTTCAGTCCGGCCCTCCACCAAATCTCCAGCGGTGTCCTTCATCCATTTGGCACATGGCTTGTGGGTGAGTTTTTGCAGAATGGGCCACCAAAACCAGGAGCTAAAACCTTTGCAATGTCCATTGTCCTATCAACCCTTTTCAACCAAGGGAAGTATCTCTGATCTCCTGCAGACTGGTGGGTCAACTCCACAACGTATTTCTCTTCTCATTTGGGGTCAATGGCTGGGGTGATAGTCTTTGGAGCTAAGAAGAAACTAGACAACCATTTGTCTAAAATGGTCTAGGCCTAGGGACCTGCTTGAGTAGGGGTTGGACTAGAAGACCTCCAAGGTCCCTTCCAACTCTGTTATTCTGAGATAGATGGAGAAGATACAGGATGGATGGATGGATGGAACGGCTTTCCTCCAGAAGTTGTGGGTGATCCATCATTGGAGGCCTTCAAGAAGAGATTGGACAGCCATTTGTCTGGAATGGTAGAAGGTCTCCTGCCTTGAGCAAGGGGTTGGATTAGAAGACCTCCAAAGGTCCCTTCTGTTATCCTACATTACAGCTCCCCTAATCATCTTGTCCCCCTCTTTGTCTTGCAGGCCCCAAAATGGTTCTATGATCCTCTACAACAGGAAGAAGGTGAAATACCGCAAAGATGGATATTGCTGGAAAAAACGGAAAGACGGCAAGACCACCAGGGAAGACCACATGAAGCTGAAGGTTCAAGGCGTGGAGGTAAGTGGCTTTGCTGAAAACATCTCCAGAACCTCTCATGCTTGTCTTCGAAGCCTGGCCAGGATAGCTCTGATCCTGTGGCCCAGGGAAGGTCTTCTCCTTGGTTCTTCTGACTATCTTCTCCAGGTTACCTCTGATCTTTTGACGAGAAGGTTCTCCTCTATGTGACTTTCCTTGGTTTTTCCGACTGCCTTTTTCTGATGTGGCTTTGTTTCCTGGTGGGAAGGAAAGACATTTATATCCATGTGGGACTGAGAGATCTTCTTGTTTTATTTAATTGTTTGTGTCGTCTGCAAGGCTAACAAGAACCAACATATGGAAATTGGTCTTCTTCGATGTCTATCAGTAGATCTCTTTGCTCTGTTTTCTCAGTTCTGCTTTTGGTGGATTTTTTTCTCACGTGTTGTGCAACAGTGATTGAGGGTCTTTTTTTTACCCCCCTCCTATTGTCATTGCAAATTATATGTCCTAAGAGGCAGGCCGGGAAAGTCACAAACAAACTAATATTTTTGGTGATTTGGGATTGAAGTAATAGAGTTACGTCTGAGGAATACCAAGAGTGCTTAAAAACAAAACGAATCCAGCCTGCGGGGTGCGTGTGTGTAGTAAAATTTTATTTTATTTTATTTTTGCTGCATAAGGTTCCTCCTTAACAGAAGACGCCATCTCTTGGTTTTGATTGATTTCGTCTCTCTTTTTGTTTTCTGCTGCATTGATTCAGTTTTGACATTAAAAAACAAGAGAAGGAAAGGCACATTAAAAAAAAAGGAAGCGCAAAACATCCCTTGATATATGTCTGCAGGTGTTTTTTGTTTTAAGGGATGTGTTGTTTTGATAATGTGTGTCAAACCAAGCGAAGGTGGAAAATCCTTGGCTGGTTAAGGAACTAGAATGGCTGCCATTCTTGAGCTTGGCGTTAATATTTCAAGTCTTGAGTAGAGGATATATGCAAATAATAGCAACTAAATAAAATGAATCCGTTAAGTCAAACCTGAGACTTCCTTGGAGTCTTTGCTATTTGCTATATATTCAGTAACATTGTGTAAATAATAATAAACAGCATTGGAAACTTTTGTTAATCTGGGTTCGGGACCTGGGAAGTTAAGAGTACTTAGCAATCCACCCGCTAATTTTTCTAAGAAAATGGCAGACTGGATGTTATTAGCGATGGCAAGTTGCATTCTGGTTTCTTTGTACAGTGTATTTTTGAATGTGCTGTCAGAAGAATAATTTGGGGCTCCAGTGTGAGCCGGGGTTGCACAAGAATAAATAAAAATGAGATCCAGACAGCTGTGAGGAAAGAAGAAATATTTATTCCTAAAAGCAAGGAGTTCGCCTTTAGGGGCAGCTACAGGGAAATGGGGTACAGAGAGACTGTTTTATAGGGGGAGCTTGTCCTGGGCGTGGAAGCGTCCACAGGCTGATTTTAGGGTGACAATTGAGGGGCGTGTGTGTGTGTACAGACCTTATCCTTTGATATGTGGATTAGATCTGGGTAACCTATTTGGCGGTTTGGGGAAACCTCAGTAAAAGATTTCCCCGTTTGCTCTTTTTACTTGATTAATTTAGTTTCTTATTGAGAAATAAAAAAAATGTATGTGTATTTGTTTGTGTGTGTGTAAATCAGTGCACGCAGAATTTCTCAGCTTTACTGTCAACCCCGCATTTATTATAAACCCCACAGAGAAATACACACGCCGCTGCTAAAGCACCGCAGTACGAAAATAGCTTACGGAAAAAAAAAACTTCCATAAAAAAATATTACTTTCTCATCGTAAAACGACTGAAGTTCATTGACCAAAAGGATCAGTTTTAGACTTCGTACCTTTCCACAAATATCTAATCCTTATTTGGAGAAATCCAACAGATTTCCACGAAAACAGAGAATCCAGATTGGAACGGAATACAGGTAATCCTCAATTTACGACTGTTTAGTGACCATTCACAGTTACGCGCTGAAAAAAGTCATTCAAGACCCCTCCCAATCCATCATCCCCCCCCCACCCTTGAACTTCTAATTAGGAAGCATTCCCTAGGTGATGTGATCATAATCAATTTGCCATAATTAAAAAAAAATCAACTAATAAATAGAGGTAAAGCCGAATGCTCGAAAGACAACCTGATTTCTTCCTGGGCTGAATTTACAGCTGGTTGGTTTAGTTAATGGGTCTGCTTTTTTTTTTTTTCTTCCCCAGGCCCGTAAAAATTCTATAAATATCCAGGAATTATGTATTTGGGTGGCAGAGGATTCCTCTTGTTATTCAGGGTAGGGGGGATACATAAGAAATATCCATCTTTTCTTTAAGAAAAAAGCAAGGAGCAGCTTCGGGGGGGGGAGGAAGAAAACCTTATTCATTTAAGAAATAAGAATTTGTTAAAATAATTTGTCAATTACTGGCGGGTCAGAAAATTCAGCTGTAGCACAAACACCAACTGCAGCTAGTCCTCAAAACTGCGCCCAATATTTTTGTTGTAAAGTGAGACATTGGTTAAGTGAGTTTTGCCCCACTTTACGACTTTTCTTGCCACCGTTGTTAAAAGAATCACACCTGGTTGTTTAGCAAATCCTGTTCCCCCCCTCCCCCCCCGTTGACTTTGCTTGATGGAAGCTGGCTGGGAAAGTCACAAACGGCAGATCGTGCGACCTCGGGACATTGTGACGGTCGTAAGCCCGAGGATGGCGTGTAAGTCATAACTGTCTCACTTAGCGATGGAAATGTTGAGCTCCTTGTGGTCGTAAGTCGAGGGCAACTTGAAACTGGGTCTCCAGTTTAAGAGTCGTGGATCTAAACGGTTTTGCTCCCTTTTACTTTCTCTTCTTAGAAAAGCAGGGATTTAACACCCTTTTCGGAGCCAGTAAGGGGAGCATCCATGTTCCAAGAGAGTCTATCTCGTCTCAAAATATCCATATCTTCTCAGAGGAACTGGTTGCCTTGCGCAGGAAGCAGGATCCGTGGTTCTGAATTGTAAAAATCGTAAAAACCAGGCTTTAGTCTCTGAGAGATGGCTCTCTTTGTTTATGGCCAGAAAAACAGATGGAGCTACTTGACAGTTTGTAGGAGAGACAGTAAATCCACTGAGGAGAGAAAAAGTTGACTTTTTGTGCAAATGGATTGTGAGCCAGTTCCAAGCGAGCTCAAAAGAAAACAAGAGACGGGGCAGGGAATTCTCCCTTTTTAAAAACCAGATGCAGAAAAAGAAAGCAAGTTTAGGGCTGACAGAAAGCCCAGCAAGAGCTCTGTTAAAGAAGAACAGAGTTGGAATGGACCTTGGAGGTCATCTAGTCCAACCCCCTGCTCCAGCAGGAGACCCTTCTGAGTGTCCAGTCTCTTCTTGAACACCTCAAGTAATGCAGCGCCTACAATCTCTGGAGGCAAAGCCATTCCACTGATTAATTGCTGTGGGATCCTAGAATAAGAGAGTTGGAAGGGACCTTGGAGGTCATCCAGTCCAGCCCCCTGTTCGAGCAGGAGACCCAGAGCTGAGTCAATGAATCTCGGGGTGGGGGTTTGAAGGAGTGAAATTTGATAGATTAAAATGGGGGCAAAACTTACTTGCTTAGCCACAAAAATGTTGGGCTCCCTTGGGGTCATAAGTATGAGGACTGCCTGCCAGGCATTGCCTGCCTGGCTCCATGCAAAAGCAATAGAGACCAAACTGACTGGACAACTATCTTGCTTAGCCACAGAAATTTTGTGTCGTAAGTCGAGGACTGCCTGTATATACAAAATCAACAAAATTGATTTATTGCTTCTAGGGCAGAATAAAACCCGGAGGAATTGCATTACAAAATGTCACTGTTTCTGCAACAATAAACAGCAAAATACGAGGGTTTGGGGGGTTTTTTGCCTAGTTTTCTCCCCCCCCACCCTCCCCATCTGCTTTGGGGGATGCATTTTGCTGCAGTAACAATTTTGCAACCATGCAACCCTTAAGAACCCAGCACCGGCACTGTGTTTGCTTCTAAACATTTTTGTGTTCTGCCTGTCACTGAAGGATCAGGCAGCGGAGAGGAAGCATCTGCTGGGAAGGAAAGGAAAAAAAAATTAAGCCTCCCTCAAAAGTGTTTGCTTTGCATAATATGTCAGGAAGAGGCTTTAATTTATTTTGCTTTTTTATCTCTCCTTGCAATTTTTAATTCCTTTTAATGCCTGTTAGGTTTAAGCATGGTGTGTGTGTGTGTGTGTGTGTGTGTGTGTGTGTGTGTGAGTGAAGATACTTAGAGCCCTTTTCAAATATGTCCAGAAAAAGATGATTAAAAAGTTGGTGACCTCGGATAGCTCACTTAACAACAATATGACTAACTTAACAAAATGGGGCAAATTTCACTTAACAAATGTTTCACTTAATTGTGGTCATATGTTGAGGACTAGCTGCACCGCCCTCCTTCTTTTTTAAGGATCTTTTTAAAGCTGTCAAACGAAGGGATAATTACTCGCACCCATTTGTAAATAATTTTCCAACACAGAGCGCTCTATACATTTTATTGCTAATTTGGGTCTCGTAAATTTAAAGAGTTTCTCCAGCAAATCTTTCTTTAAAGTCACAGATTCAATATTAAATGGGTTTCTTTTCTCCTTTGTAAGCATCCAGCCTGGGTGGCTTATCTGGGTCCCCAATTTCTCAGCGGCATTTTAAGGAAGTTATTAAGGGGACAAGAATAAGGCAGATGTGTGAAGAAGGAGGGGGGGTCCAGGCAGGTGTTTTTAACTTTCTAGTGCATCTCAAATAAATAAGTTGCTTTCATTTCACACCTAACAAATGTTTCAGGCCGTATAAATGGTACAACTCCATTATCTTTTCTTAGGAAAGCACTAGCAAACTTTGGGATGCTAAAAATACTGATAACGTTGTCCATAATTTAGGTTATTACTGACTGTCTATCTGTCTGTCTCTCTCGGTGTATGTTTCTCTATCTCTCCATCTCTCTACCTCCATCTGTCGTCTGTATCTGTCTTTTGTTCTCTCTGTCTCTCTCTCCATCTCTGTCAGAGTCTCTC